ACCGCCGTGTCCCCCCCACCCCAGAGGTGACCCCAAGGCCCCCCCCACCTTGAGGTTCTGGTGGTTGAGGTCGGTGCGGTGCTTGTCGCTGGGTTTGTACCCCCCGTGGCGGTCCTGGATCACGGGGTCGAACAGGTCCTTGAACACCTCGTACGACTCCTCGTCCCCCGCCACGCAGCCCACGGTCATGATGAACGGGTGGCCTGCGGACCAGTACGGACCAGTATGGAACCAGTACGGACCAGTACGGGACCAGTACGGACCAGTACGGGACCCGTACGGCAGCAATATGGCACCAGTATGGAACTGGGAACCAGCATGGGACTAAGAACCAGTATGGTCACTGGCCACGCAGCCCACGGTCATGATGAACGGGTGGCCTGCGGACCAGTATGGACCAGTACGGCATCAATATAGCACCAGTATGGCAGCAGGAACAGGCACTATCACCAGTATGGACCAGTATGTAACCAGTACAGACCAGTATGGACCAGTACGGCATCAATATAGCACCAGTATGGCAGCAGGAACAGGCACTATCACCAGTAGGGCACCAGTATGGCACCAGTACAGCACCAGTATGGCACTGGGAACAGGTACTATCACCAGTATGACACCAGTATGGCACCAGTACAGCACCAGTATGGCACTGGGAACAGGTACTATCACCAGTATGACACCAGTACGGCACCAGTATGGAACTGGGGACCAGTATGACACCAGTATGGCACTGGGGACAGGCACTATCACCAGTACTACACCAGTATGACACCAGTACGGCACCAGTACAGAACTGGGGACCAGTATGGCACCAGTATGGCACCAGTATGGCACCAGTATGGCACCAGTACAGAACTGGGGACCACTATGGCACCACTATGGCACCAGTATGGCACCAGTATGGAACTGGGGACCACTATGGCACCAGTATGGCACCAGTATGGAACTGGGAACCACTATGGCACCAGTATGGCACCAGTACAGCACTGGGAACAGGCACTATCACCAGTAGAGCACCAGTACAGCACCAGTATCTCACTGGGGAGGGGTCTCTGCCCCCGGGGGCTGCCCCAGACGCCCCCCCCCACCCACCGGGGTTGTCCACGCCGGTCTGGATGGCGTCGTCGAGGGTGAAGCCGCTGGGGGTCTCCTTGTCGCGCAGGCGCTGGTACAGGGCGGGGGTCAGCACCTTGGCCATGTGGTTGTTGTGCTTCGAGAGGTCGGGGAACTCCTCCTCGGGGGAGAACTTCAGCTTGTGCTTGTTGTGGGTGCTGCTGAACGGCATGGCTGCGCTGCGGGGAGAGCGGGCTGTGGGGCACGGTGTGGGGCACGGTGTGGGGCACTGCCCGGCCACGGGCACAGCGGG